GGCCTTCTCGAAGGCAGTGGCGTATATGCCCAGAGCTACCGGGGCGCTGAACATGCCTGCACAGCCGCACGCCGCCTCCTGGACACACAGGGGGGTTGGGAGCGCGAGTTGGGGAGTTTTGGAGGCAGGCTGCCCCCGGGGGTGGGTGGGGTGGGGTGGGGTGGCGCGGGCTGCTGCTGCTGCGTGTGTGTGTGCACTGTTGTGTCACAATAAAGGGTTATTGTTTCTTGACATCTGTATCGAAAAGTTTAATCACCATTTAATCATCACCCACAGCATCAGCAGCAAAAGCATCATCAGCAGCAGCAGCAGCAGCAAAAGATTACCATAGTCGTCGGGCCCCCCCCCGGCGCCGTTTTTGTCTCTTCGAGTCCCACTTTCATTACCTTGGCGTGTTTGGCATGCGGTGCGCTGTCCGTGCCCAGAAAGAACTTGGGGCTCCCGCTCGTGGCGGCTGCCATCACCGCCTCCCCTGGAGCACATCCGCACATCCGCACCCGCACCAGCACCCGGGGCCAATCAACCCACGAGGAGGGGGGATGGACGTGATGCGCACGTGGCGTGTGTTGCGGCAGGGGGAAGAAAGGTTTAAGTTAAGAAAAAGCAACAAAGCCGGGACGTGGGGCCCGAAGAAGGACAGCAAGGGGAGAATGGAAGGGGAGAATTGAAGGGCACCGTCAGCCAGGTTAGGGGGATCACCTTCACAGGCATCCTGTCATCCCACAGTCAGGGAGAGCGGCAGGAGCATGAGGTGGAAATCGAGTTTTGGTGCAGGGTAGAGGGGGTTTGGAAGTGCACATACATACATACATACATACATACATACATACATACATACATACACACACACTCTCCCACGCCGGTCAGAAACTGGTGGAGGGTGGAGATGTGCGGAACGTAGAGGTCGCTCCGGCGGGTACGGGGAGCCGGGTCTGGAGGCAGCGCTGCTGGCAATGACAGGACAGGACAGAACAGCTGAAGGACAGGACTTGAGGCGGCGTTCTGTTCAATTCGATCTCGTCCCCTGGCCCTCTTTCCCTCTCCATCCACCTTTCCCCCGTCTCCCTCCCCCCCACCACTCACGGTGTTTCTCCCGCTTAAGAATGGGCAGGCAGTAGTTGTGAGGCCGCAACCCCTTAGCGAACAGCGCATTGCGGTTGAGCAGCATGTGCTGGGGGGTGATGGTGGCAGCCACGTTGGCAGGGGCGGAAGACACGAACTCAGCCTGAAGGAGGGGGGAGAAGGGGTCAATGGAGGACGGAGGGAAGGGAAATAAAAAGAGCACAATCAGGGAGAGAGATTGGGTAAGGGAAGGGAAGGGAAGGGAAGGGAAAAGGTAGGGGATGGGGTGCTTGGGAGGTCAAGGCAAACTGTGATGTGGGGTGGGGTGGGGCCCAGGGGTTGCTGAGGCCAGGGGCTACGTGTGTTTCTTGGGGGCGCTGATGGATCGGTCTCGTGGTCGATCCCGGGGCGATTCTCTGAAAAAACATGGAAAATAATAAGTTAAGTTCGATATTCAGTTACTCCCCAAAATCAAAAACCGCCAGTGCCGCCCTAACCTTCTGCACCCACATTTCCAATGCTCTTCCACCCTTGCGGCCGCTCCCATTCACTCTCCCCTCCCCTTCCATCTCCGCAACCCTGACACACACACACACACACACACACACCTCCCCCGCGCCCCGCCTCACCGCATCCTTCGTCGTGATGTGCTCCATAACTACCTTCAGGTCGGGCACCTGGTCCAACAACGGTAACTGAAAGTACGGGAGGATAAGGGAGGGAGGGTGTGGGGGTTTTAGGGTTTGTACAGCAAAGATCACGTGAAACACGGCTGAGCGCGTGTTCCGTTTCCCATCCCCTTCACCCCCCCCGGGGTGCGCCCTTGACTGCTGCCCATTCCCCCTTCCACCTCTTGCCTTGCCTCCCCCACCCCTCTTCACACGCCCTCCCCATCATTAGGAACTCTGCACACGCACATCCCCGGGAACAGCCCAGTCGGGGTGGAGTCCGCGTCTCGGCGGTCGCCGTGTTTTTCTTCCGTTTTCCTTTTTCCCATATCCCCTTTCCCAATTCTTCCCGCCTTTCTTTCCTTCCCCATTTTCCCGTTTCTCCCCCGCCCCTACACACACACACACACAGCCACACCAATACCCATACCCACCAATTTTCGCTGAATGAACACGGCCTCCCGGTCAAACATGTCGACCTCTGGGTCGGTGACCTCCCCGTGGACCAGCAGCAACACGCCCGCTTCAGCCATGGCCTGAGGAAAGCCACACCGCGGTCCGGGCACCGGACACATGTACCGCGTACATGACACACACGGTAACGCGGCGGCACGGGGTGTCAGTACGGCAGTACGGTACATGTACATATGTATATACCTTAATACCTTAACACATTTCTCCCTATATATAGATATTTTTTTGTCATGTAAGGGTTGGATCAGATGTGGTGTTGGCGATTAACAGCTCTCGAAGTCGCATTTGCCTTTCCTGCGGGGTGATGTCCTGCGGGCTGGTGGAGGGGGAGGAGGAGGAGGAGGAGGAGGAAAAGGGGAATACTATATCATGCCCAACATCGGAATGCGGTTCAGCAAAAATTATGATGAAGGTTTAATTGTTGACATGCACGCGGCAGGCGGAAGTGCGAGCCAAGTAGTTACTCCAACTCGCCACCGCGAAGGTGCGTCGGGGCGGTTAGGCCACGTGTGTTTTTGTGCGTGTGCTGGGCCCCGATCAAAAAGTGGTTCAGGAAAAAGTGGTTCGCACTCAAACAAAAGTTGAGTACGATAACTTCGGTCACTACAGATTGCCGTACCCCATACATGCCGTACCTTGAGTGCGGCCATGGGCTTGTTCAAATCGGTGACCCCGGAATCCGAATTGGTGGTGGCGCCTGGCGTTCAACGAAAAAGCGAGAGGGGGGAAAAGAATGAGAGAAACCCCAAAATGTGCTGCAGGAGAAGACCCGGATCAAAACGGACACCGCTCAGATGGGCAGGCCCGAGTGTGTGTTTGCAGCTGTGTTTGCAGGTTTGTATGTCTGTGTGTGTTTTATTTAGGTAATCTGAGCCCTGTGTGTGTGTGAGTGCGCGCGCGCGTGTATGCGTGTGTGTATGGAGGTGTGTGGTGGCGTGCATATGTGTGTGGTTACGGGAGGAATGCGGGGGAGAGGAGCGGGTAGAGTGAGATTGCATGAACAGTCGGTTAACCGTTAGGAAGCAACGGAAGTGGCGGATGCGAGCCTGCCCGGCTGCACGTGCGGAAACACCTCCTCCTCCTCCTGCCGTAC